TAGTAATTCTTTTTCTCATTTTTTATCTTTGGTTTCAAAGCTTTCACAAAATTTTCACTAACACAATACATCTCTTTTTGTCTCTACAGCTAGCCATTCAGATTTGTTAAGTGACCAAGTCTTTTGCTCATTTCTTATCGGCTTTTGTTTCTAAGTTTTGGGGAATTTCCTGTATTTAAACTTGAAGTGTTATAGCCCATCTTGTGCTACATCAATAAGTAGATATATCTGTTTATCTCAACTGAGTCTTCACACAAATACAATCTCCTTCTATCTCCCAGAAGCATTCTCTTATATTTGCTATCTTTCTATGTGACTAATAAAACTTTTAGATCTGGTTAGTAATTCTTTTTCTCATTTTTTATCTTTGGTTTCAAAGCTTTCACAAAATTTTTACTAACACAATATATCTCTTTTTGTCTTTCAGAATTCTCTGGTCTTGTGTTTGCTATCCTTCTGTGCAGCTAGCCATTCAGATCTGGTAAGTGACCAACTCTTTCGCTCATTTCTTATCGGCTTTTGTTTTAAAGTTTTGGGGAATTTCTTGAGTTTAAACCATAAGTGTTACAGCTGCTACATCAATAAGTAGATGTTATAGACCAATAATTGCAATCATGATCCAAAGACCAGTATGTAGATGTGTTATAGACTAATTAATACATAACCCAATTCACTTTTGTGGTTAAAGAAAATTAGGATGTTCTAGACAATTAAAATTTCAAGGGCTAATAATAAAAAGATTAAAATATTATTAATAAATGAATACACTAAAAAGATTCACTAAAAGCTATTTAAACAATTTCACATAAATCCTAACATTTAAAAGTGTCAAAACATTCCGATTTTTGCTTTTCTCATTTTAGTGTAGTCCATTAAATAAATCCATGGCTGATAGTCAGATGAACATACTAGGTAGATTTTTGCAGAACCAATTCCAGCAGAAGGCATAGACACGACTAAGATAGTTAAATCATGCGCACCTTTTAACATCCCTTTTAATGGGACCCACATTACTTCACAAATATGCCATAGAATCATTAGAGAGATCACAACAAGCTTTTAGACAGAATCATCTAACCATGAAGTAACTTTAAACTGAGATCAGCAGAGTAGTTGGGTTGGTAAGTTTGCAAAGGTGCTCCGGCCGAATTCTGGCCTACCTCTGCAGTTTCTGACAACTTAAAAAATTTCAAGAAAAATTCCAGAAAATTTTCTGAAAATAGGAAAACAGACTCTAAGCCTAAACCAAGCTCAACGGAATGCTTTTATGCGATAATTTCACAATTTCCTTTTTGGATAAAATGTAAATCTTTATTTATCCAGAAAAATACTAGAGTACATCAAAGCAGCAAAAATAACAGCTGCTACTAGCTACACAAACACAATGTAAAAACTAATCCTGTCAAAAACTAACCTGATCAAAAGTGAGGTATTTAGCTGTCCAGGAAGTCAGCTTGTTAGTGATTTTTTCAATCAAAGGGGCGCAGATCCTTACATGTGAGCTTTCCTGTAATAAGAGGCACTCCAAGGTACCTTACTGGCAAGGTACCGAGCTTAAAACCAAATCTGTCAACCAGCAGCTGTATTTCTGTCATTGATAGCCCACAGCAGAAAATTTCTGATTTGTTGTAATTAACCATCAAACCAGAAATCTGATAAAAATGGCCTAAAACATCAACAACAGTTTTCATAAATGGTAGACTACCATTAGTAAAGATTACTAGATCATCAGCAAAACAAAGATGTGTGAGTTTGTCCAGAAAAAATATCCACATGAATTCCCATTGAAAGCAATTGAAAAATATTCACAATTTCATGACCAAATCAAGATATTCTCAATGCACAGTAAGAATTGAATGAAACTGAGAATAAATTCGCAACAAATTCAACAGCAAACTCAGGTTCCCATTTAATATAATATACATAAAATAAATCAAAACAAGATGATGATACCTTGTCCGCAGTAACCTTCGGATTCCGAAAACAAAACTTGGACTTTCTATTGCTCTTGGTTCCTCTAACCCGAACTCACAATGATCTCCTAGATTCTTCGCTCTCCTCTTTGCCTCCCTTTTTTTTTTTTTTTCGCTCCCTCTCCTCTCCTGAAATCCCTCTCCCTTTTATAGGCCAAATCGGAGTAGGGACACACAGAGCCCCAGCCATCCGGTTACTTTCCCTCGATCTCAACCACTTCTCAGCTAGCCTTGCCGCCCACCTTCACCACCCTAGATTACCTGCAGCCTGCAAGCAGCTAAAAGCTTGCGACCTGATGGGATCGACGGGATCCCGACCTGATGGGAAGAGATGGATTAGGGGAGGAAAGGGCGGAATCGATTAGAGTCCTACGCCTTTTATTTTTCTTAGTAGGTTTCGACCAAAACGACGTAATAGTGGCCGACTTTTGTAGTTAAATCTTCAAGTTCTACCTGTATGACGTTTTAGTCCTTCAATTTGTTTGGTTCCTCAATTAGGTCCCTGCAAACAAATCCTCTATTAAAATATTTTCAGTTGAGTACATTCTGTCAATAGATTCGAATAAGTCTCCATTTCTTTTTGGCAATTTTTCATATTAATTCCCCACATTAATTTTTATTTTTGTCCAACAATTCCCCATATTAAATGAAAGTTTAACCACGTATAATTTTTTGTTTTAAGGTTAAAAAGCAGTGAGGAATTAATTTTGGGAGTAAAAACCAATACATTTTGAAAATATTTGAATTGGCAAATATTCATCGAGATAATTACTAAATTCTCGAAAAATGGAGACAAAAATTTTAGGTAAAAATTTGAGTTATAACAACTTATACTTCATGTTTTATTGATTTTTCTTGCAATTTCATTTTTTAACTTATTTTTTCATATTTTATCATTATATTTATTTATCTACTCTACGTTTATCTTTATTTTCTTTTTATATTTAATAATTTATTTGTTATTCTTCCTTCTACCTTTATCCTTATTTTCTCAATATTATTCTGTTTTAATCACTTCCTGCATCTTTATTAATTATTGTATATCAGTCTCTCTCTCTTTGTATATTAAAATTATTTAAACTTATATCTTAATGAGTTTTTAAAAGCTTGTAAGGGATTTTACTTTGCTATTTTTATAATTTTTTAATAATTTAAATTTTCGATAAAGAGAATGTTAAAACATTTTTAAGTTCCCATTGAAGCTTTTTCTTTATTGTTAAGTTTCTTGTAAATACTCATATTTCCAGCTTAATTTAAGTAGTTTGTTTAAAACTTATTTTATAATTTGCAAATTAGTTTTTCAAGTTAATATAGTCATTATCAAGTTTTTACATATCGATTTCATGTATTACAATATGTAGCTATTCATAATTCTTTGATATTTGAAAATTATTTTTAAGAAATACATTTATTCAAAATTAATTACGATTTAATCATTATTCTTCTAGTCCCAAAATAATTGTGAAAAGGAATCAATTTACAAAATGCCACTTTAAAAATAATATAATGTGTATTTATGCTCACAACATTATATAATTGAAGTAGAAGCCATATAACACATTTTGGTAAGTTGTTTACAGCTTTAATTATATAAAGATGTACATATTAGATTATTATATGGTAATTGAAATGGAATTTGAGAACAATTAGTAAGAAATTTGATATGATTAGAGCATTATTAAGTATTATTATATAAAGAATTGATTTAATAAGGAATTATATGTATTGTTCTCAGTAGAACATTTAAAAGTGTATTAATTTAATTTAATTGGGTTCTAACTTTCTAACGAATCTTTTTAAAGAGGTCTATTGGGTATTTATTTGAGCTTTTAAAGAGATTTTAAAAAACCCATTTGCTATTTATTTAGGATTTACTAAAAATTTTAATAATTTTTACAATATAGTAAGTTATAATTGAATTTGAATTTGAACTATTATGTAATTAAAGTTGGGGAACCAATTTGGATATGAAGGATGAAAAAGGAAGGTATTGGGTTCATTATCATTTTTTGCCGAATTAATTTGTATAATCAAAATTGATGTATTGTTAACTAAATTTATAATTATTTATTGAAGATTTTAAAATAACAATTGAATATTTATTTGATATTTTAAAGGGATTTAAAAAGGATTATTGGGTATTTATCTGTGATTTATTGAAAGTTTTAATAATTTTTATAGTATGGTAAGGTATAATTGTATTTGGATTTTAAAAGACCCATTGTGTATTTATTTAAGAATTTAAAAGGCTAATTGGGTATTTATTTAATATTTATTGAAAGATTTTAAAAGGATTATTGTGGATTTATTCGAGATTTATTAAAAATTTGAACAATTTTTATAATATAGTAAAACATAATTGAGTTTGTATTTTAAAAAGCCATTGGGTATTCATTCAGTATTTATTTAAGATTCTTAAAAAGTTCATTGGGTATTTATATATTCTTTTTGTTTATTTTTAGTAGTTCTAATATAATTTTTTAACCTTTTGGATATAAATTTCAAATAAAAATTTAACAATTTATATGAACAATAATTAATTTTTTTTCTATATGTAATTTTTGTTGAGTATTTTTATTTGATAAAAAAAATTTTAATTATCATTTATATAATATATTAAATTTTTATTTAAAATTCATATCTAAAAGGTCAAGAAGTTAAATTAGGATTACTAAAAATAAATAGATGGAGTAGTATTTACTAAAGATTTTAATAATTTTTTTATAATATAATAAAACATAATTGAATTTAGATTTTAAAAAGTCAAAGTATAATATTTGAGATTTATGCTTATGCTTACCTACCATGGATGCTTCTCTACCTAGCAAAGAGTTTTTTGTTTTGTAATTTAAATTGTATTAGATTATAATAGAAATTATTAGATGAGGAGAGCAATTCTCATAAAAAAAAAATTCATTCACATTCAATAATTTATATTTTCTTAGTTCAATGTAATTCATACAATATAAACTTTTTTTTAGACATAAAGTAAAGCACAAACCCCAATAGTTTGATCTAGATGTCATTTTATAAATTGGGTTTAGTGCTTAAGACTTACGCTTAGCACTTAAGAAAATTAATTTTATTAAATGCACTAGGTCAATATAAGATGTGTGCTCCTAAAACTACATGGAGAGAAATTAATCTTAAAATATGTAAAAATTGATTCAAAACACTCTAACCATAAACAAAAAATTAAAATAAGGTAAAGCACAAAGTGAAAAAAAAATTCCTTAAATAGTTAAGCTACCCTACCTAAAATAAATATGATGAGAACCTTCTTCAATTTTCTTTATTAAAAGTGAAAAAGAAAAGTAAAGCATAGAAAAACAAAAGAAAGAGAAAGCAATGCAGTGAGACATTCACACTAAAGAGACATCACAAATATATGATGTTGGGTGTATTGGGTCATCTTTGCTGAGCGTTCTCACCAACACTTTCTTTTTCTCTTTTTTATTTTTATTTTTTATTTTTGGACTTGGTTTCAAAGCTTTCATATGCTTAAACCAAAGTGTCAAGAGTCTTGCTTGTGCTTTAGAAGTGGCTAAGTATGGAGTCTATGGACCATGACTAATGCTTTGGGTGAAGACATAGGTTGAAACTCAGTTATTTAAAGGTTTTAAGGCTAGCAGATGGAGTTTAAACCTTTAAGAGAACTTGGTATCTTAAAGAATATAGATAGGAATTTTCTATCAAATCAACCTGGATATTTGGCTTAGAAACTATGCATAGTTTAAATCCATATTGTCCAGCTTAGTAGAAGTGTTCATTGCAAAATATATTTCAAAATGTGGATGGTGGTTTCTACATCAGATCCTAAACTCCTAATGCAATTTAACCTTAACGTGTATATGCCTCAGAAAACTTGCCAAAACAATTAGGCCTTAGAAGTTATGGGTAGAGTACGAGTTTGTCTTACCAAGTCTTAGGCACCAGGGCATACACTCCTAGGCCAAAAGCACTCCTCTACTCTAGGCTTAGGGCTTAATATGCAAAGAATAGTAATTGATATCATGAGCTAAAGTACAGTAAGTACATGTTATAGATAGTTATAACTAAAATTCAGTTTAGGCAACAACTATGGAGTGGTGTTAGAAATATTGTTCCTCCTTTTTTGATACTTGATGATGCTCCTTTTCAACACCTTGTAACAAGCTTTAAACTCCAAGCCATAATGTGAAAAGGTAGCTGTGGTTTTGTTGTTTTTATTTAAAATAGGTAGCAGTTGGTATTAGTATCACGTCATTTTCTTGTTTCATAATTTCATTTGTGCCATCTACAGCTAGGATCTCTCGACGCCAAAATAGAATGGCAGAAACCATCCTTGGTCCTGTTATTGAGGAGGTAGTTTCCAAGGCAATTTCCTTCGCTACTAAACAAATTTGCCTTGCATGGGGTTTCGAGAAGGAGGTTGTGAGCCTCAAGGAGTCACTAGTTATGATTCAAGATGTTCTCCAAGATGCAGAGAATAAACAAGAAGGTGATGCTGCTATAAGGCGTTGGCTGCAAAAGCTCAAAGATGTAGCCTATGATGCAATGGATGTATTGGATGAGTATGCTTATCATCTTCTCCAACTGAAAGTAGAGACTCAAGGCCAAAAGAAGAAACAGGTGTATCGTTTCTTTTCTCGCTCTAATCCAATTGTGTTTCGTTGGAAAATGGCCAATAAGATTAAGAAAATTAATGTGTCTCTAGCTAAAATAAAAGGAGATGCTGTGTTTCCTATGTTCAATAGAGGCAAATCAACTCTGCGTGTTAGTCCCATCCCCAAAACAGATTCCTTCCTTGATTCAAACCCAATAGGAAGGAGTGATGATGTTTCTAAAATAATAAGCCAGCTAAGTAAACTTAGGAGTCAACATTCCATGTCTGTTGCTTCTATAGTAGGCATGGCTGGCATTGGAAAGACAACTTTAGCAAGATCAGTGTTCAAAGAAGCAAAAGAAAGAAAGCTTTATGATATAGTAGCATGGGTTTGTGTTTCTGATCATTTTGATGAGAAGGACATTTTAGGAGGCATGTTGGAATCTCTTGATAAAACTGCAGGGGGAATAAACAACATTGATGCAATGCTTCAGCATCTTAAAAATGAGTTGGAAAAGAAAACCTTCCTTATCGTTCTTGATGATGTGTGGAATGAAGAATCTGTTAAGTGGGGTAATTTCCTTGATCGCTTGTCCAAAATTGTGAAAACTACTGGAAACTCTATGATTGTAACAACTCGCAGTTATGGAGTAGTATCTGCAATAGAGATGGCTCCTAGGTGTCATGTGCTTCCTATGCATAAGCATGAAATGAAAGGGTTATCAAATGATGAATGCTGGTCTATAATTGAGGAGAAAGTGCATAGATTTGCAAGAAGACCAGTAGATGCTAATTTAAAAGAAATTGGGCTAGCTATTGCAAGAAAATGCAAGGGCTTGCCATTGGTTGCAAGTGTATTGGCAGGAACAATGGTTCGCAAGTTTGGAATAGAAGAGTGGTTGATTATCAAGAATAACAATGCATGGAATTTATTAGACGATCAAAATATTGCACCAATTTTAAAGATAAGCTATGACCATTTGTCTGGGCCTCTAAAGAAATGTTTTGCTTTTTGTTCAATTTTTGAAAAGGATACTACTATGAATAAAGATGAATTAGTTCAGCTCTGGATGGCAGAAGGATTCCTGCACCCACCTAATGATGAAAGCAATTTGACAATGGAGGATATAGGTGATCAGTACTTTGATGATTTGTTATCCAATTCCTTGTTTCAAGATATAGAAAGGAATGCAATGGGGAATGTGAAATCTTGTAAGATGCATGATGCAGTGCACGATCTTGCATTGTCTATCTCTAGTGGTGAAACATTGATTTGGGATCAGACTGGTTCCATTGATGAAAATTCTAAAATTCGGCATTTGAGGGTCAAGTTTGATGGGAGAGTGCTTCCAAGAGGAGTTTCTCAAAAGTTGCATTCTTTGTTCTTAGATGCTAAGTGTGTTTTCCACATTGCTTCATATCTTAAAAGCTTACGATCTCTTACAATGTTGACAACTTGCAGAGAAGAAGATCTATCAATTTCTCTTAGCAAGATGAAGCATTTGAGGTACCTTGATATCTCAAGTAGTCAAATTAAAGTACTACCAAAATCCTTTTCGAAGCTCTACAACTTGCAAACTTTAAAGCTCATGCAGTGCAATCATCTCGAGAAGGGCCTCGATGACATGAGAAATTTTGTTAGCTTGAGGCATCTTTATTTCAGTAGTGAAAAGAATATGCCAAAGGAGATTGGGCACTTAACTTGCCTTCAAACATTACCATTATTTGTTGTGGGAAGAGAAAAGGGATATAGAATTGAAGAACTTGGATGCTTAAGCCAACTGTGGGGGGAATTGGACATTCAGAAACTTGAAGATGTAGGATCCAAATCAGAAGCCTCTAAAGCAAAATTAAAAGAAAAGAAAAAATTGCAGGGGTTGGAATTTACATGGTGTGCAAAAAGAGAAGCTAATAACAACATCGACGATGAAGAGATTCTAGAAGGTCTTCAACCTCACCCAAATTTGAAGAGCTTAGTTATTTGGAATTACCAAGGAAAGAACTTCCCATCATGGATGCAAGGTGGTGTCAATAGTTCACTCAACAAATTAATGAAGTTAAAGCTACAGGATTGCAAGGAATGCTTATATCTTTCGAGCCTCGGTTTATTGCATGATCTCCAGTTTCTTGAAATTGCAGGGATAAAAAAGGTAAAAAGCATGGGTAGCAAGTTTTATGTGAATCAAAGCAATAGTGATGATCGAGTGGGATCGGTTACACAATTCCCAACTTTAAGAGAATTCAGTGTTGCATGTATGGATAGCCTTGAGGAATGGGTAGAAGTAGAAGGTGTGACTGTGTTTCCTTGTCTTGAGAGGTTGTTTATTAAGGATTGTCCTGAGTTGAAGACTTGGTCAATGGGGGGATTTTCATCTAATCATAAGCTGTCTTCTTTGAGAATAAGTGGATGTCACAAACTAATGGCTATACCAAGTATGGATAGGCTCTCATCACTTAAAACTTTTTCTATAAAAAAATGTTATGAATTAATGAGTCTACCAAGCGGATTGGGATCTTGCACTTCTCTTCAGGAGTTGTACATAGATAAATGCCGAAAATTGTCTTCCATTCAAAGTATAAGTGGGCTCACATCTCTTACAAGCCTTGTGGTTTATAATTGTAATGAATTAATGAGTCTACCAAGTGAATTTGGATCTTGCACTTCTCTTGAAGAGTTGAGAATTTCTAGATGCAAAAAACTGTCTTCCATTCCAAGTATAAAAGGGTTCACATCTCTTACAAGCCTTGAGCTTTCTAATTGTGATGAATTAATGAGTCTACCAAGTGGATTGGGATCCTGCACTTCTCTTCCGAAATTGAGAATTTTTGGATGCAAAAAACTGTCTTCCATTCAAAGTATAAATGGGCTCACATCTATTACAAGCCTTCAGCTTTATGATTGTGATGAATTAATGAGTCTACCAAGTGAATTGGGATCCTGCACTTCTCTTCGAGAGTTGAGCATTTCTAGATGCAAAAAATTGTCTTCCATTTCAGGTATAAATGGGCTCACATCTCTTATAAGCCTTGAGGTTTATGATTGTGATGAATTAATAAGTCTACCGAGTGAATTGGGATCCTGGACTTCTCTTAAAAAGTTGAGCTTTTCTAGATGCAAACAACTGTCTTCCATTCCAAGTATAAATGGGCTCACATCTCTCACTAACCTTCAGCTTTATGATTGTGATGAATTAATGAGTCTACCAAGTGAATTGGAATCCTGCACTTCTCTTCAGGAGTTGAGCATTTTTAGATGCAAAAAACTGTCTTCCATTCCAAGTATAAATGGGCTCACATCTCTTACAAGCCTTGAGCTTTCTAATTGTGATGAATTAATGAGTCTACCAAGTGGATTGGGATCCTGCACTTCTCTTCCGAAGTTGAGAATTTCTAGATGCAAAAAATTGTCTTCCATTTCAAGTATAAATGGGCTCCCATCTCTTACAAGTCTTGAGTTTTATGATTGTGATGAATTAATGAGTCTACCAAGTGGATTGGGATCTTGCATTTCTCTTCTGAAGTTGAGAATTTTTAGATGCAAAAAACTGTCTTCCATTCCAGGTATAAATGGGCTCACATCTCTTACAAGCCTTGCGTTTTATGATTGTGATGAATTAATGAGTCTACCAAGTGAATTGGGATCCTGCACTTCTCTTCAAGAGTTGAAAATTTCTAGATGCAAAAAACTGTCTTTCATTCTAGGTACAAATGGGCTCATATCTCTTATAAGCCTCAAGTTTTCTAATTGTGATGAATTAATGAGTCTACCAAGTGGATTGGGATCTTGCACTTCTCTTAAGGAGTTGAGCATTTTTGGATGCAAAAAACTGTCTTCCATTCCAAGTATAAATGGGCTCACATCTCTTACAAGCCTTCAGCTTTATGATTGTGATGAATTAATGAGTCTACCAAGTGGATTGGGATATTGCACTTCTCTTCAGAGTGTGGCAATACGGGAATGTCATAATATAATTTCAATTACTAAGGAGATTGGGGATTTACATTCACTAAGTCAACTAGAGATCCGTAATTGTGGAAAGCTGCGTAGCATTCCAGAGAAGTGCGTGGGTAGACTCACCTGCTTGAAGGTGTTATGGATAGGTGGTTTCTGGTCGGAGTTGGAGGAATTTTCTGGACTAACTTACATTCATCAACTCCACGCCTCCCTTGAACTATTGGAATTGAATGGATGGGATAAATTAAAGTCTCTGCCACATCAGCTTCAACATCTCACTGCCCTCAGGGAATTATCGTTATGGGACTTCAATGGCCTGGAAGCTTTGCCAGAGTGGTTGGGAGACCTCTCTTCTCTTCACAGGCTGGAGATTAAGAATTGCTCTAATTTGACTCATATGCCTTCTATTGAAGCCATGCGACGCCTCTCCAACTTACAATATCTTGTCATTTCGTCCTGTCCGAAATTAGAAGAAAGATGCGCCAAAGAGAGCGGCCCCGATGGGCCAAGATTTCCCACATCCCCAACTTGACAATACATGGTGGGTCCCTGCAGTAGCAATCCAAATAAGAGATGAAGGTGTGTTTAATTTCTAAAACCTAAACTGTTGGATATAATGGATTCATAACATACACTTGCAAGTTTGATGAAACTTAACTTGGTTATTCATGCAGGGTTGAGAGTTGTGACTGTGATTGGGCCGCTCAGAGTTCATATATAGAAGCTAGCAAATCTTCAAATTCTATACTGTATATTATTTTTTTTTTAATTTAGTAGCTTTTATTTTTTGGCATAAAAACACACGGAGTGCGATTCTTACAAGTTATGTCTAATGCATCTAAACACATGAAAGTGTAAAGCTTGAGGGTGTGAGAGCCTTGCCGGAGGAGTAATTACTACAAGCTTTCGTTTTTTAAGGTACATATATATATATATATATATATTTCCATAATACTGTTTTTGGATTTTGGTTATAATTTATTTTTTTTGTCTGATTATTTCCTTCTTTACCTCAATTTTGTTCATCTATTTTCTTTTAGAAAAATTGTGGGCATGGGACTTTTCTTGCTTTGATGAATTTGAAATCTTGATTAAAGTATGTCTGTTAAAGATTACTTGGGTCATCCTTCTGATTAATCTTTTAAATTCTTTGTACAACTTCAAAAATAATGAAAAAAGATTTCATTTTCAATTTTGTTTGGATAGACTGTTGGTCTCACTGATGATGACAAGATTATGATATTCAACTCATTAAGCCATTGACGATTGCATTTTGTTTCTCCACTTATCTAAATCTTCCTAAACTTATTAATAAAAACAATTAACTGAACTCTACAAAAAAAAAAAAAAAAAAAAAAAAAAAAAAACTGAACAGGATTGATAGATGAAAATATTCAGTGTTACTAATAGTCTCTTGAGTGAAAATGTATGTCTGTACTTTGCTTTTGTTGTTGAATTTGATGCAAATCATCCTGTGCTCCAACCACTTGCCTTTGTATTATAAGAAATATCATGTTCTTTACTTAAGTAACAGCGGCATGGTTGGTTTAAATTTTTCAGCTATTTCATTTATTTTGCTTTATATTTCACCCCTGAAGGCTGAACTATGGCAGGGAAGATGTCAAGTTGAACGAGAAAGGAAGAAGAAGACACCAGGTGTTGATGGTACTGCTGATTGCTTTTGTACTTCAGTCATGTTAAGAGAAGCTGATGTCAGTGGCTAAGACATTGTGCTTGTTGAATTAATGACCAGTACTTGACCAAAATATATCTATTTAAGTGTAAGCACTCATTAAAGGTTAGGAAACTGGTATCTAATAGACGTGGGACAATGGAGCAATTTTTTATATAATTTTTCATATAACTTTACATGTTAAGAGAAGATGTCATGTTAAGCCATTCTTTATGGCTTTAACACTCCGCCTTGATAGCAATGTTGCACATGGCAAGCTTATCCCTCATTCCTCATCCCAAAATCAGAACATCAGAATAGATTTGCAGACTCAAATATGCCTGAGGTAAGTTTAATTAATCAAACCTCAATTCATTGATTCATGCTTATAATTTTCTCAAATATAGTGACAAACGACTAGGAAGTTCAGGTTTCGTACTATTAAAATGAAAGTTTTTGACTCCGCGAGACATTATGAAAATGGATCTTTGACCAGGAGTAGGGTAACTAAGGAAGAAGAATGATCTGCAGATAATTTTTTTTAAATTTTTTTTATACGAATTTTATATTTTATTAAATAAATAAATATATATAATATTATAAATCTTAAAAGAGTAAAAAAATTAATTATTAAATTAATTA